TGTGGAGGTTTGTTCTTCTCCCTGCTACTACAGCACGACCCTCGCGCATAGCAGCGTTTTGTCGTTGTTGCTTGGGCAGCTAGTAGCTAGTAGATTTAAAGTTAGTTTCCAAGACCATGGTAGTAAATCCTAGTAAGAGCCACAACTGGAGACTGACCAACAAGGTTCCAAGGATGGAAATCATCATTGGGTTCGGCGCAGATGCCTTATGATAAGCACCGGGAGTTTTCGCTCTGCCATCAGGCACTTTGAAACCATATTGTGGGGTTTGTGTCTCCGTCCCAGGCCCCTTCCACCTTCTGGCAGATTGAGCACAAACCTTGGCTTCAGGTTGCGGCAGTTCGTTTTCGAGTCTCCAAGGATGAAGTCCCCCGCGCTAATTGAAGCGCTTATGGAGTGCAAGGACAGCACGGTGCAACGCAGGCAAACTTTCGCGTGCGCAAGGTCAGAGCCTGAGTGAGACAGGTTGAAGCCCCAGGCCAATTGCTTGATTAAGATACTTCTCACGGGAAAAGATACTTCTCAAGTCTGTATAAAAGATGCTTTGCGGTGGAGAAGCTACTCTTCATCAAGCAAGATTCAGTTTTTTGTGCCATGTTGATGTCATGCTGGACATCAAGTGGAGCTACTAAGCTCACACTTTGCGCAACATGCTTTCCTTTTGGAGGGGTAACTGTCATACTATATGTCGGAATTTTTCTCAAGAGAGTTTTTGGAGCTGAAGATCCGTATGTGTTTTGTGTGCGTGTTCTGCTCTGCTGTCTCCAAGCTGAGTCTCACGATGTCGCAGTCAGTAGTTCATACATACTCCCTGATAATTCGCTTGAACAAACAGCAAGCATTGTCGAATACACGCCCAGGTTACGTTTCAAAGGTGGGGGGAGGGGCGAATGTGATAGTATACGCACCCAGTCCAAATCCGCCGAGGCCAGAGGCCCAAGCATCTTGGGGATTACTTCAGGTACCCTCCACCTAATCCTCCTCCCTACAGTCCATGCTGAGTGTGACAATTGCATCCGATGCATTGTCAAGGGGCCGTGTTTGATTGTCATTGCATCATTGGTAGCATTCACAGAGTCACCTCACGATTGTGCCCTGCTCGACATTGCCTAGCCCGAGACAGACCGGATTGCAAGGGATCTGATTGCCTGCTGAGCAGTGCTTTCATACTGTCAAGTGGTGTGCAAAGTACCGTGAGCTATTGGTGCTGAAACTTTAACATTCCGGGCGTAGTAGTTTCGGGGTCCTGCCCTCCCGGGCAAAGCTGGCCGAAGGCCAGCAACAATTTCCAGTCTAATGGGGATTTGTGCCACATCCATGCAAAAGGGAGAGTTGTCCGTGCTAGCTGTGTTTTGAGCTAGCGGTCGTCGCTCGGCTAGTGCGTTACTCTAGTGCTACCACCACCGGGTGGAATGCTGGGGCCGTGGGCGCGATAGGGCTTTGGAGCATTGCTCGATTCTGTATGCTGTCTCCTAGCTGAGAACTTCTTGTTTGAGTGAGCCGAAGCCCAACGTCTCAGGCGGCCGCGCCAAAGCCGCCGCCAAAGGCTCCGCCTGTGCCACCCAAACAGGCTGGGGCTGGGGGTGCACTGCCAGGCGAGGTACTTGGTGCGCAAAGTCAGAGCTTCAGTGAGACAAGTTCGAGTAACAGGGCCCATTGCTTCTTGTGGTTCGTGCTTGTAATTTGAACTGTGCGGCAGATTGCATCGTCACCCATCCCATCAGATCCGCGAGAACTTGAGAAGAGCTTGATCGCAGTCGCTGGCAAGACGTGAGAAATCTAATTACGCCCTGCTGCTTGCGAGTAGCTTGCGGAACAAACAGTCACGCGAAAAAGTGCATCCCTAAAATCCCCCGGTGAACGTGTTAGAAATACGCCCCATGCAACTAAGGAGCAACTAGGGTGCGAACGTGGCTGAAAGGGGGAAGTGTCTCTCTTTTGGGGGACGCGGAACCATATGGCTAGAGATAAACCTTGTGGGCCGCGACAGCATCCTTGACAAGCTTGGGGTCCAGAGACACGCTCAGGTCTAGCTGGCGTCTGCAAGCTTCTTCGCCGCGGCGTCCACACCATCCGCGAAGGCGGGGAGAGGCGCAAGGACGGCTGCAGAGGCCGCCAAGGGAACGGCCTGGCGCCGCAGCGGGCCAGGCACAAAGGTCCACGAGGCGTGCAGCACCGCGGCAACCGAGGCAAAGGACACGGCCGGATCGAGAGTAGGACTTGATGGCATCGGTCATAGGCATGGTGGCGAACCAGTCCGCATTCAAGCCCTGAATGTTGGGAACGGTGTCGAAGACCTTCTTGATCGCGGCAGGCGGGGCAGAAGCGATGAGCTTCGCAATCGCGACTGGGACCTCCTCGCGGCCCTTGATATGTGTGCATGGACCTTGCTGGAATTCGCTTGGAAATGCCGCCTGCGTGCAAATCTCGGACCGGCCTCGAGCATGTTTTCGATGAGCATAGGGCTCCCGAATTGGATGCAGCCTGTGGGAGGTTTCTGAGTTGCGAGCAACTGTTGTAAACGCCTCTGCGTCTTATCAAGATGAAACCTGCGGGATAGAGTGGCAAATCGCTGTTTGGATATGATCTCGTTTCGTACCCAGATTACCACGTTTCGTTTCGTTGCAAGCACCTTTACTCACATCTGCATCGCCGCGCCTTCGAGGCGCTTAAGGACTTGGCCACGACGATCTGGAGTGGCTGACCCATCCTGATGGGCTTGGGAGTTCCAACAGCTCCAAAAGCGCTTTGGGCCTTGTAGAGCTTTTGGGGTCGGGTTTTGCAATCGCCGATCGTATTTCTTCCACTAAAGCAGCCCTGAAAGCCATTGAAACAAACTCGCCGGGAGCGCTTCTGGATCCATCGGTTGGCCTGCCCCTGGGGATCAATGCACAGGGGCCACCTGGGAAAGCTTCGAAGGATTGAAGAAATCTTGGCCTGCAATGTGAATGCACCCACCGGTTGAAGCCATGAACGGCGCATACTTCATATGCAAAACGGTCAAACGGTGATAAACATTAAGACCTCTGCGAAAGCAGTGTTTGTGCTCTCGTACGCCAGGTCGTGCTTTCTCCTCCAGCTTGCCCGGCACGTTCGCAACCGCACATGGTTGGAAAAATCCGGTTGAATGAGTTGCGGCAGCTTTTAATCACCGATACGTTGCGGTCATTGTCACCACTTCCACCATCATCCTCATCATTCCACCACAATTTCAAATGTAATCGTGTTCATCACCATCATCAATGGTGCCATCATCGCTCGAACCAGCGCCTCGTCACTGCCATCATCACGTTGTTCCGTGCCGTGCTTGTCATGCTACAGTAGTTGTCCAGATCATGGTGTCGTTTGCGTTCACGCTTGCATACATCGTCACACGTCATGTTATGATGACCATCCGTGACCATCCGCAGAATCAGAAGGATTGCTTTGCCAGCACCATCATCGACATCACCCCCGGCCGTCGGTGATAAGAGCCCAAGCCAACTTCCGAAGTGCCCAAGCCACTAAACCGCATTGTTTGCCAGATGGGTCCCAAACTGCAAGTAACACACGCGGCAAAGAAGCGACAACAAGCACCGAATGCCATGGCTTGCGGCGGATCTTCGTGAGTGCTTTGGACACAAGAGGCAAAATTTCCATCAGAAAATGGTTCGGAAATTTTCCTTGTTGACGGGGCTCAGCAGCGGCTGGATGTTTGAATTTGCCGTTTCAGAGCCAACTATAGCCAGCTTGGCATGTCAGCGAAGCCGCGACATGAATAATTGTGTAAACTTCTTGTAGTGAACGTCGGCTCTTGATATGGGGCCACAGCTGCAGAGCAGACCGAATAGGTTGCAATTTAAGGGAGCATTGGGTGGATTTCAATCTATGCCTATGCGTATCATAGTTCCCAATATTTTAGCTCTTATTAAAGCGGACTGCAAGATCGCCCGGCGTTACGAATAGAGCAGGCTGTTGAAGCTCCGAAAATTCACGTAGCCTGGCTTGAAGTGATGCAGCAGTTTTCGCTGCCGGCACTACGACCACGAATTGAGTGAACGAAGACTGTGTAGGCAAGCTCTGCATGGTGTAATGGAATCCAGCCGGCACCTTGCGACCTTCGAAGACATCGAATTGTCGTCGTTTTGACCCTAATCCTGAGCCACAGTCAACGTGCCCCAAAACTCCCCGAAGCCCCAAACCGCTGTAAACCCTTAATCCTGGACATTGCCATCCAGCCACGCGAGAGGGAAAAAAACCACCTCAAGGACCGCCCGGCCCTAACCAAAAGCTTAAAAGCCTTAAACCCCAAGCGGGAATGTGTGTCCGATGCCCTTAGGGCTAATGTAGTTTGGGGCTAGTGAACCGGAAGAGTTTTTGCTTGACAACTAGTGAGTACACGGTCTTCTTTACTGTTTGGCCGGGGTTTGCGCATGTTCACTTGCTCCGATCTTGGTGGGGGCCACTGCGAACCAAATTATATAAGTCTGAATCTGAACATACGCGTTCGAGAATGTACACGTGCAGAACTGCCCTGCGCTTTTCGTTTGGTTTGAGCTGTCACCAGCTTCGAGGGCCTAGTCGGCAGAGAAGCAGGGACGTACAGTTCCAAAAACAAGAAGCAGCTTCGCCACCGAAGGCGAGCCTGCGGGGCAAGGAAAGTCGTTTCGACGGTTTGGTGATGTCGGACGAAGAGTACTAGGAAAGAATAAGAGTCGAGTCAGCAGGGTTACGGTGAGTGATGTGGGTCTGAAACCATGTTAGCCATGGCTGAACTTGGCCGTCCTGGTTCAGTTAGAAGGATGAACAGACAAACAACATCCTCAGCGGGTATGCTCGGCTGTAAGCAACAACAGCAGCGGCAACAACAACAACAACAGCGCCAATCTCAACCGCAAGCTTCACAAGCTTAAGTCACCGTCCAACTCCAACTGCCAGCATGCGACTGACTTTCTGCCTGCGCCTGTGGATTGCCAAACCATGCGATGGTTATCTTCGCGCCGTGATTGAGCGCATAGGTCATGGAGGCCCGCGGTTTATATTCGGGGTGCGGAAGACGCACGATGTGGTGGCCCGGGTAGTCTTGGCTGGGCCATTTTGTTCCATGTCCCGCCAGGCCCTGGGCTTCACGAAGTCACAGAGGCGAAGATTCAACGTCGCCATCCCAGACGATCCTGAGTCTTTGCCGCAAGCCGTGTTGATTCCGAGTCTGAGGACGCAGAGTACATCTTGTCGGTAGCTGGTGACACGGAGAGCCTGAGCGTCGAGGTTGGGTTGTGTGTGACGTCATGACATTACCTTCAAAAGGAAGCTTCGCACACCTTCGTACGCAGGTGGAGCATGCAGAGGACCGGCATGTCAGTAGCTATTGCATGGAGATTAGTTGCACGATGTTGCGTGTGAGTTGCTAGTTACTTCGAGGACGGCCGCCGTTGGCGGGCCAGGTTTGCAGCGGGGTTTGTGGAGGAGCTGCCAAATGTGGTGTGGGATTGCCGCGCTATGCTGGGGCCGTGTTGTGTGGCTTCCGGGATAGATGGGCTCCATCAGGCTAGAACCTGGCACGAAGCACATGGAACTTGTGGAGTCCATGTTCGCTGTTTGATCCGGCCTCGCAGCTTTTGTTCCATTTCAAGCTTCGCTTCAGAGATCCTGGAGGAAGTTGACGCCTTTCCACAGGAGTTGCTGGCCATGTCGCCACTGCTTTTGTTTTCAATCGCCTGCCTCAGGTTGGTCGGTGGCGAAGTTTGCAGCGGCGACGGCTGCGAGGCAGAGACGTCCGAGCTGCTGCAACACTCGACGAAGGATTCTTGGTGGTGGCACCGCCAACGCTGGGGCTACAACCGCTACGGATACAACCGATACAACTCGTACAGCTCCTATGGCGGCAAAGGAAAGAAGCCCAACATCCTAGTCATCATCGTCGACGATCTCGGCTTCAATCAGGTCGGGTTCCGTGCCAATGCAGTCAACAACTCAGATGTCTTCACCCCTAACATCGATCAGTTGGCAGGTGAAGGGATCGTCATGGATCGATTCTATGCGACTCCTTGGTGCGCGCCTAGCCGCGGAGCTTTGCAGACAGGGCGTTTGGATGCCCTGAACCCATGGGTACCGAACAATGTCTGGAACTGGGATCCCAGCGCCAGCTACGTGGACCTGGAAGGAGAAAGCAGGACGACGCCTTTTGTCGGAGGCGTCCAGCCAGGGACTTTCACGATCGCGAACCGTCTGCAGGAGCTGGGCTACCGAAATCACCTGAACGGCAAGTGGGGCATCGGAGGCGGCGCCTACCTCAACACGCCCATGGGCATGGGGTATGAGACTTTCATGGGCTGGTTCGGTGACAGCATGGAGAGCTGCGACGGCACTGAGCCGGGATTCGCAGTGGGAGGAGCTTCGCCACTCATGGACGCTTTGCCGGGGTTTTGGCGACAGGATGCTATGGAGACCTTCAACTCCTCCTGGTGCGACTTGGTGCTCGCCGAGCTGCGCCTTGGAAACATCAACGAGGAGGAAGCGATGGTCGGCTGCAAGAGTTTCAAGGAGGCGCTCGACGATGTGGCTGACGAGCAAATCCGGCGGAGGTCGCGGCAGATTATTGCAGAGCACGACTACGAGGAGGCACCGCTCTTCCTTGTCCACGCTTTGCAGCTCATGCACCTGCCCATCCAATATCCGCGCCGGTTTGCGCCAAAGAACCTGACCAGCTTCAGCCGCCCGCAAAACGAGGATCTCCGGGCAGCAACCTACGGTGCTCTGGAGTATGTCGACTGGGTTGTCGGAGACCTCATTTCGGCCGTGAAGGAGCAAAGCCAGTACGAGAACACCATTGTGTTTTTCACCTCCGACAATGGTGGCGCGATCTATGCAGGCACTGCCAACAACAACTACCCGCTGCGCGGTGGGAAGTTCAACAACTTCGAGGGCGGCCAGCGCGTGAATGCCCTCTTTGCCGGCGGTTGGGTGGGTGCGCAGCTGGACAAGCACCGGCTGTCGCCCTTCAGAAGCGATACCGTGATGTCCATCAACGACCTGGCCGAAACCTTGTTGGAGATGATCACGGACAGGCCGTACCCAGACGGAGGCATGCGGAATGCACCCGGGCCGCTCACGGGTGTGCCCATGTGGAAGGCCATCTTGCAGAAGAGCCAGGTCCCGCGCAAGATCACTTATTCTGAGGTGATGGAACTGCGAGTGGGACCGGACATCACGGACTTCAAGAAAATCTGGTTCACCGAGAACAGCACTCTGATCTCTGATGGGAACTGGACCCCCAACTTCCCCAATAACTCCGAGTTTATCCCGGACCTCGGCTACAAGTACGTTCGACCTTGCAGCACACCCTACTGTCACTAGGCCTTGCTCTCATTTTGCCAGCACAGTGATGGGCAGCAAGTTGCAGGCTGTCCTTCTTATGCTAACTTCATACAAGTCCCTCACAACCTCTCTATTCAAACCCCTACCCTGCAATGCGGGCTTCGTCCTATGCCAGGTAGGAGGGGAAAAAACCCCACTAGAGACCCGTAAATCCAAGTTATGGTAGCTAAAATGGAGTTGTTCACGAGAGCCTCGGCCTAAACTCCCCCTTAGCGGCCCAGGTTACTTCGATCTCTACAGCGATCCCTCCGAGCAGACGAATCTTCCCCTAGGCCCTGATGAGGAGCAGGCGCTGCGACTGGAGGTGCCTTGGAGGCGTTTGAGCTGAGGGTTTAGGGCTAGGGTTCAAGGGCCCATAAATTATGGGCCATGGGGGTTGAACAGGGTTTCATTGGGATGTCTATTGATATATGACTATAGGAGAGTGCCTTCAATTAGTGAGGTTCTTGTTCTTTTAAGCATCCCTGCCAGCCACAGCGAGATTGAAGGTGTTGGCGGACTGGAACCTCTTCGTGATCAACACTTCGCGGGTCCGGCAGATCGACTTGAACGTTCCAACCGTCCGGAAGGTCTCGCTCTGGACGCACATGGGCGCTTCGGGGCCTTTCTTGAGCACTGCGGCAGAGCCCGTGATCCCACCCGTGGCCCAGTGCTGGTGCGTCTGGATCCAGGATGGCTTGGCTGTGGAGGATGTCACGCACGTCGTGTTCAACCTCTACCTGGGTCCGAGGTGTGTCGACAGCGCCTTCGCAGCACTTGCGCCTGCCGCGCTCCGATGTGAGCCGCCGCTGCGCCTCACACAGGCGCCGATGCCCTTCAACTTGTCGGAGGCGCTCTGGGCGGAGATTGGCTTCGAGACGTCGGACTTTGAGTCGATCCGCCAGGCCGATTGGCTCTTTGGGAACTTCTCCACTCCGCTGCCCCTGCTGCTCCTGCGCTGGAACTTCGCGGTGATCGAAGGCTTGCAGGCGATGAACAACCGCACCGGCTTCGCCAATTGGGCCAACATTGAGAAGTACCCTTTCAATTTGGCCTACACCGACCACTGCCCAAACTTCGATATCTTCACAGCTCCGACGCCTGTTACCCAGGTGACAGACTGGCTCCTTTCCGGCGGCATCTTCAACAATCCCACGAGTGGAGCTGGCAACAACACGGAAAGGAATGTGACAGCATGCTTTCCAGTGGACACAGATCTATCTGTTTGTCCAAGCTTAGACAACAACCCTCCAACTGTGGACGGCTACAAGGTCCCGATCTACAACACCAGCTTTTGCCTCGAGTACTGCGTCTTGTGGAACCCGGATGCCGACTAGCGACGCAGGGGCCATCGCGACGCGACGCGCCAAATTAGCATTTTGAGGGACTCCTTCGCTCGCAAGCGGTTTGGGTTGGAGCCAAAGAGGCGGGTCACCAGGCACAGTTGACCTACTGCCACAAGGGTAGTGGGCTCAAGTGGTTGCATGTGCTTTCAAAGCCACCAGGAACCCAACGAATCTCAAAGATAGTTCCAGGGGGTTCAACTGTAACGAACAGGATGCAATGAATGGCCCGCGCTTAGACCAGTCCAGCCATGCACGAGGCAAAAACATCCTCCGCCCGCAAGCTGGTGTGGAAAAAACATGGGGCGCTGTGGTCGTGGTGGGGTGATGTGATACAGGCCGTTGGTGTGTGGTGCGAGTGGATGCTTGCTGGTCGGGCCGAGGCGTGCTTTACAGTAGAACCGTCAAACACAGGTCACCTGACAGTGTTGGGGTTGTTTCTCATGTCATGTAGTGACAAGAACCCGAGTTGCTGATGCTGTTGCACCGGAGCTGCTTCCAGTGTTGCGAGGAGATTACCCGGCGCACGGGTAACGCGAAGAAGCACGGCGCTCAGCATGGGGGTTCTCCCATGGCAGGCAGGTGTTTGCATAGAACCGGGGTGTGCTATTCGGTGCAGTGTGACCATGGACATCTTGGATCAGGGGGTACCATGGGGTACTAACTATAACTACTCCTCCAGGAAGTGATGAACCGATGCTTTTCCATGGTGTCCACATTAGTTGCTCACGTGCAGTGTTGTGACCAAGGTTTGACGTCTTCGTCCGCATGCTGTTGTCCGCCCTCGCGCAAGAGCAAGGGCCTTGTTGAGACATGTGTGCATCCTCAGTTTTTGCCAGTCCAGCCGCGGGGCTTTGGTGTATGGCGTCCGCTGCCGTCGCAAAGGTCGGACTCTGTGTACCTGGATGTGCTAACGGCTCGCCGATGACCGAGAACTGGACTTGCTTGGTGATTTCATGAGCCGGTTCAGCCGGAGTACAGTGGGGCAAAAACCCGGACAGGCCAAGCTTGAATGTTGGAGTCGGAGTGTCCGACTTGCCAGCGTAGCTTGTCCTAGGCGACTTGGAGATGCTTCGGCGCCATGCCAATCCGGAGGTGGTTCTGCTGTACACCTTTCAGAACAAACGGGGATCTGCGAGGTTAAAGAAGGATACTGCTCAGGATCACGTATCTGCGCCTCACCGACTTAGACACACGAAGATGTGCGATGCGGCCCCCACCAGGAATATTCCCAAAATTTTCTGACGGAAGTTTGAGATGTGCAGACACGATCGTTTCGCAAGGCCCCGCCAGCCGCTCCAGCCACAACGCAGCCGGACAAGAGGCCCAACATGGTGCTGGATGCACGGTATGGATGTCACACAGATGTCTTCTTTCGCAGCTTTCCGTTCAAGCATTCCCTGCCAGGTACATGATCTTGACCTACCGCGCTGAGTTTGACAAGGTTCCTGGGCATGCCGGAAAGTCCGTCAAGGATCTCCTACAGCGCACCCAGGTTTTATGCTTGTAGGTTTGGGCTCTGGGTGTGGGCCACCATAGCACCTGAATTTATACAATATTGCACAACTGATGGATGGCTGAAGGAATAGAGATAGCCGATAGCCGTTGTGCAATCAGAAGTGCGCCAAGGTCCATTATCCCTTGCCCCTGGCTTTGGATGAACGGAGCGAAGAGGCCCTCGGGTTTGTGGCCTTGGCAGATGTGGACTCTGTAAAGCCTCAAAGGCCGTCTCGTGTGCGTGTGTGTCAGCTGATACTACTGCCCCTACTACTACGACTGCTGCTACTTCTGCTACGACGACGACGACTACTACTATCAAGATCACTATTGCTATTTCGGTCGCTGTTGGTGTTCGTGCAACTGTGCTTTCGCTGCGGATTTTGAAGATTGAGCCTTTCGAAGCCTTTGTGCAGTGCTTGGCGATTGTGCAGGATGTCTTGAGGGCCATGGTCCGGAGCTGAGTGCACTCCCTCCATCGCAAAACCTTAGGGCATCATGGCTCCACAAAGTTGTGCATCTGTGAGTCTAGAGGAAGTGATCGCTTGTGGTCTGCACTTCATTTCGAAGAAGCTTTGAGGTCAAGTTCCAGTGTGAGAATTCACCCCGAAGTCCTTCTAGCAACCCTTGTAGGAAGGAACCATTCATGGAACCCTTCTTGAGTAATCCTTTGTAGTAGGCCTTGTATGAACCCTTCGTCGAAACCTGTCATGGAAACAAACCCTTCTAGGCTCTGGACCCACGCTGGCCTCCGAGGTGTCCCGTCTACGCTCTGAGCTGGCGCAGGCTCAAGAGGCCAACAAGGCGGTTGGTGCGCAGTTGCAGACGGTTCGCTTTTTTCTGGTCTTACGGTCACCAAAGAGGGAAACAAAGGTTTTGAGGGTTTAGGGTGTTACGTCTAGGTGGTTCAATGCTGAGGTTGATGGACTTAGGGCAGCCACTGTAGTTGTCACAGCCACTGCGTTGAAGAAGTAAAAGAGCCAGTATGCTGAAGATGCGATAGCGAAGAGCACCTGTTGGAAGAAAGGAAGATGATCACAGAGACGATGAGGATGATTGTGATGATGGTGCTTCTGGCACACAAATGCTGGCAGTAGTTGAGAGTGATGCTGACGGCGATGAGGAAGGGACAGGGATGGTGAAGATGATGACGCTGATGATGGTTATGGTTACGACCGCCCTGAAGCCTAACAGCAAATCTAAGAAGAAGGCTATTGACCCTTCGCCCCCAAAGGCGCAGAAGCCTCCGCCTCCGCAACACTTTGCTGCCGCTGGGGCCCAGACTTGGCTTGCAGATGCCACGGGCCACGGGAGTGTAAATGTGCGTCAGGTTCAAGGTCATTTTCTCAAACGCTTTTGAGCTTCAGCTCGATCTGAGTACACAAGCTCTCAAGATGTTTGGCTAGTCACGTATACGAAGGGGTGCTGGTGCGAGGGCATCAAGTCGCAAATCAGTATTTAATGCAAGGCGCAAACCTACCTTCCTGCATCCCCGGCCCCACTCGGTGGCATAGGCACTTCCCAACGATACCCTAAGAGCATGAGCAAAATCTGTTGTCGTTCTACAGCAGGGGCCGGGGCAGTAAGCTTTGGGGCTTGGGGCGTTTACGGTTGAGGGTTTCCACTAAGAGCACCGGCAGGTGACAAAGTGGATGCTGCCCTTTAAAGACTTCAGCCCCAGGATGACGAGCGCGTGTCAAAGTTGCACCTGCAAAATCAGCAGCTGCCACTGCCTCAGCGGCGAGATTCCGTGCCAAAGTATCTCTATGTACTTGTGGCTCCCGGCAGTTCCACACAAAAGCATGCATACACGTCAGGCGCCTTTAGCCGGTGACATGGGAAAAAACCGAGACCCCGCGCACAAGTACCACCTTTGAAGTCGAAAAGGCCCGAACTCGCACACTGTTTAGTGCAGAACTCAGCGAAGCGGCTCGTGATATCTGTGCCTCCGCACACACTCCATCCTCCACCCTGCAGCCTGATGTCTGATCAAGGGCTTATCATCGAGGAGTTGCGACTCGCTGAGAACGGGATACTCGTACCATGCTGCGCGTGTGCGGCATCTCGGGTGCCGAGCTCGCTTCGCTGTGCCGGGAGGAGACGGAGGAGCTGAGAGACGTGGGCGGTTTGAAGCTCCACTTGCGGAAGCTGCACGGCTTTCCCGCCTGCCTGCAAGAGCTCCTGGATGGCAAAAGGCTGGAGGATGCTGCGAAGCTGGAGGTGCCCTGGGACCTGCAGTTGTTGCTCAAGACCTCCTTGGCGACGGAGGCTGCAGCTGCAGGTAACCTGGAATTCATGTATGCTGCGTCCAACGGCCTGACGGTGGCGGTCCGCTTACTGTTGGAAGCTGGTGCTGACAAGGACAAGGGCGACGAGTTCAGCAAGACTGCTTTGATGTTCGCATGTGACACCGGGCTCCCGGACATTGCCAGCTTGTTGGTGCAAGCTGGTGCTAACATGGGCTTGAGGGATGCCGATGGCAAGACAGCTCTCATGTTCGCATGTGCCAAAGGCCACTTGGAGATTGCACGCTTACTGCTGGCAGCCGGTGCTGACAAGGACTTGACAAACCGTCACGGCATGACCGCTCTCCTGCTGGCATGTGAACATGACCACCTGGAGCTTGCACGCTTACTGCTGGCAGCCGGTGCTGACAAGGACTTGACAAACCGGCACGGCATGACCGCTCTCCTGCTCGCGTGTGAACATGGCCACCTGGAGATTGCACGCTCGCTGGTGGAAGCTGGTGCCAACAACGACTGTGCAGCTGCGGACAGTGGTAAGACAGCTCTCATGTTCGCATGTGACAGAGGGGCACTTGGAGATTGCACGCTTACTGCTGGCAGCCGGTGCTGACAAGGACTTGACAAACCGTCACGGCATGACCGCTCTCCTGCTCGCGTGTGAACATGGCCACCTGGAGATTGCACGCTCGCTGCTGGAAGCTGGTGCCAACAACGACTTTGAGGCTGGGGGCAGTGGCAAGACAGCTCTCATGTTCGCATGTGACAAAGGGCACTTGGAGATTGCACGCTTGCTAGTGGAAGCCGGAGCAAACATGGACTTGAAAGCTAGTTTCACAGGCTCTGGCTGCAAGACCGCTCTCATGTTCGCATGTTGTAATGGTTATGTGCAGATTGCACACTTGCTGGTGGAAGCCGGTGCAAACAAGGACTTGACAGACCTTGTCGGCAGGACAGCACTCATGTTCGCATGTGGGAACGGGCACCTGGAGACTGCGCGCTTTCTGATTGAAGCAGGTGCTGACAAGGACACGACAGCTGGTAACGCAACAGCTGGCTATGGCTGCACAGCTGCCCAGATAGCACAGGACAATGATCATGCGGAGATCGTCCGCTTGTTTTCGTCGTAGAGATCCTCGGACTCGTGCTGAGGAGCACACCCACGTAGTTCGCGCCGCTGTGCAGTAAACAAAGCCTGCTTCTTGAGTCTTGGTTCAGCGTCCGCCGCACATGCTGGCCTGGCAGGCGAGCCTAGAAGGTTGCGAGAGAATTGTCTGCACGACAACGTGCCGTCCCGTTCGCGAGTCTCGACACCACCTTCAGAGAATCCGCTTCCTGGAGCTGTGTTTGTTTGTCTCATAATGGGTACTACCTGCAATGCAGTCGCCAGGCAGCCAAGCGGGAGCCAAAAAATGCGCTGGTTTCTAACAGTCGTCTCCGCACCATGCTAGCCGACAGGGCATGATTCTATGCTCTTTGTCCTGCTGCTTCGTTGCGCAAGATGATTAAACGAACCCGCGGATCGAAAGTCAGACCTTGTCCTGCTCACCTCTACGTTGACTGCATACACCAGATTCAGAACCTCAAGTTCTCTAGGTGAGCTCACGGCCCTGACATGGGTATTGGGCTGCCTCGAGCCGATTCACAGTGTACACACTTATGATATACACACATAGATGGATAGATTGATAGATCGATTGCTTTGTCTTTAACTTCAGATGTCCAGCATACTTCAAGAGACGACATCCTCAGGGGATATTGAGAAACGTTGGGCAGCTGAGGACCGACAGCTTGCACGCGATGCAGAAGGAACCTTAGCTGTCCCTGATGGCAAGCTTTCCGGTTGATGTCGGGCCTAGACTAGACGCTGGTGAGTGTGGGGTTGAGGTGCGGCCAGACACTATGCCATAATCGTTCTCGGAAAAATATACGAAACTCTGCTATGGACGTGCTAGAGATGGCTAGAGTATTCTAAACTGTGGCCAAGCGCAGCCTTGAGAATTTTTGCGAACAGCTTTCAGGCTGGCTCACTCTGCTGCACACAAAAAGAGTCAGCAACCCTTGAGCAGTGGCATTGCAGCAAAACCCCCTAAACTTCAGGAAGATGAGTTCACTCGTCAAGGAAGCCCTGCATAGCTTTTAGGCCGCCTCATGTCCGGGAGTTCCAAGTCTTTTGTTGCAGGAAGCCGAACAGCTTCGCTCAGAGCTTCGCTTGCGCACGGTTGGTCGGGCCCTTAGCAGCTGAACCCTGAAACCCGGCGGATGGGTAAATGAGGACTCAAGGTTGTGAGTTAGGAGGCATGAATCAGGACGAACACGCTACGTCTTCGCAGTCTTGCTCGGCTCGATCGGGGCTATCCCGTAATCGCGTCTTGTCCTGTCCAGTTCTACCATGTTCTAACGTGTTCGTCCTTGTTTTGCTTGTGGTGTCATGCGCTGTATGGTGTCGTCTTCATGTCAGCCTTTCTGTGATGTATAGATGGTGTAAATGGATATAAAGGTACCTGTGTGAGGGCCGAGGGCCGAAGCTCAAATCCCCCGCGATCCACCTTGAATATTTGGCAGTTCTGCCGGAAAGAGCCACAAAGCTCTGCTATCTGTTACATGCATGAAACATCTGTTCTGAAACCCGAAGATCCAGAATCTGCAAGTTGACGTTGTTCCCACTCGCTTACGGTCCTTTCGCTGCGTTCCTCATGGTAAACTCCCCGTGAGGAGGACCGAGGACCGGCCAAAACCTGAAGAGATACATGGTCGGAAATGGTCGGGAATACCTAGGAAATGGCCCAGTCCAAGGCCGAGATAGTGGGTGCCTACAGTAGAGGGCCTAGGGCCTAGGGTTGTTCTTGGACTGGGCACTGGGAGGCCAGCAGGACCACGCCCGAACAGAGGAGGCCGGGTACCGAGCAAGCCGACATTCTAGAGCCTCTTTGGAGTCACACGGGGCTTGTAAGGGTTCCCACTTGAAGGACGTGGATCCCGGGTGACATTCGTAGCACATCTTGAATCGTGGGCCAGTCTGGGCACGTGGGCAAGCAAAGGGCGTTGTTTGGCATGGTCTCTTGAGCGAAGTTCGGAACAGGGGGCTCTGTGTGTATCATGCCTGAAACCCAACACCTTCCACTGGATGCGTTGACTGCCTTCTGCGAGTGTGAGAGTCGAAACTCAAGACGGAAAATCCAAGATCTCAAACCCAGAACCCGAGAACGCGAAACCAAAAGCCCTCCGAAACCCCCAACTTGGAAGCAACAACAGCGCTTGGCCCCGCCGAGGTGTCCCGGCTGAAGGCCGAGCTCACGAGGACCAAGGCCGAAGCAAAGGGGAGCCCGGAGCCCCCCCAGCCATCCCAGTAAGGTCAAGACACCGGCAGCATTTTATCTGAATTCGAAAAGACTGGCAATCAAGGGCCCTTTTTCCGATTGCAGGCAGAGGTGAAGAGCCTGAAAGACGAGCTGAAGCAGAGAGAGCCGCGAGCCGGCAGTTTCTGCGACTCTGGGGTTTAGGAAGGTTTCTAGAGGATTTTCGTAGAGGTGTTGAGGAAGTTTACGTAAGCTACCATCATCGGGAAGCAGATTAGGCAACGTAACTACCCCTCCGAAGGGTTCACCGGCTTCGGCCAGGACTTGCTGGAAGCTATTCCCTGGCATTTGGAGGGATTTTGTTTGCTTGGCTTCCAGTCTCTGCCAGAAATCGATCTTTGTCTCCCCCTGCCCGGTGTTCGGAGGCATGTTCCGTTCTGCACTTTTCGGACTTATCCTCGTCTCCCCTTGCTGCCTTCCCTCACACCCTTAAGGACTGCGCCACTATGCCTCCCACATATATACCTATGTGTATATACATATATGCACATCTATTCTGCATAAGTACATGTGTGTGTACGTATGTATGTAAGTAAGTAGTAATCGATTCATTATGCAATTAAGTAAGTATGCACGTATGTCTGCGTGTGTATGTGTTTATGTATGTGTCTGTACGTGCAGTATGAAAGTAGGTGTAACTACTTGGTTAGACTAAATATAAATACCAAAAGTGTGTGTATATATATGTATATACACACATTCTAATTTTATACATCTTTCTCGCTCTCGCTCTCTCTCTCTCTCTATCTCTATCTCTCTCCCTCTCCCCCTCTCTCCAAGGGCACTTTTTTTCCCTTCTCCTTGGCGAGGCTGGCGCAGAAGCGAAGCCGTGAGAAGGAGGCCGCTGAGCTGCGAGCGGAGCGGCAGAAGGCCCTGAAGAAAGTCAGGGCTTCGGGGGAGGTGGTTTATGGGGTTTTCGGGTTTTGGGATGGTTTGGGTTTCGGGGCTTAGGAGGTTGCAGGTCTTTAGGTTTCCGTCAGGGTCTAGGGTTGAGGATGGTTGACAAGTTGAGGGTTCCAAGAAGAAGCCAGCTAGCAGCTAGTTCCGCGGCATTCCGTCGGCATGCTTAGGTCCAGAGTAGCTATGATAGTATGATATTGAGTTTCTGTGCCTGCCCCGGTCTCAGCATGTCGCTAGTGGGAGAAAACGGCTATGCTGTGCGACCATGTGTGACCCGTATTGGACATACCTGATTTCCGTTTCGATTCGCCGTGCGCTGGAGTCATGTAGAGCTTGTAATTTTGGCACGATTGCCTGCCACAAGCGGCCGTGTGTGTTCATATGCTGGGGTATCGTGGGCCATATGCAGCAACCCCACGGTAAGAGAGCTCGCGGGTGTGCATGAATGCAAGGCTGCATGCATGCTCGCATGTGTGCGCACGGGTGTGTGTGTGTGTGTGTGTGTGTGTCGGCACACATACACACACGTGCACATACACAGTCCTAGTCCTATACATGAATTTGCTTACGTGTACACATACCCATCGAGGCATACATGTAGCGACACAGATGCCCATATCTTAGCCTATACACGCAAATACATCCTTATACACGTGCACGTACATACATACATACATACATCCATGCATACATGCACACGTGCACACATACACGCATGAACACCTGCACACGTACGCATATATATATATATATACATACACACACAGATATATATATATATATATAAATATAAAGAAACACTTACAGACTTCCAGAACTTCGAGGCTTACAGACATACATGCGTGCGTCCATATTTACATTCGTCCACCTCCATGCGTCCATCCATCCATGCATCCATCCCTTCATCCCTCCCTCCCGCCCTCCCTCCCTCCCTCCCTCCCTCCCTCCATGCGCACTCTCGTCACCTGTGGCACGTGTGTACTCGCGGTCAGAAACTGCAGGGATCAAAGTTGGTGTTTTCTGACTTGTGCGAAGGCGGATCGTCTCCAGGCGCAGCTGAAGAAGCTGGAAGAGGATGGGGAGACACAAAACCCAAGAGCCTAGTGCAGTCTGGCGATGACCATGATGGCGGCGATGCAAAGTTTTGGGTCGAGTTCGCAACTAAGGGGTTCAGAGCTTGTGAATCTTGGGTTTGGGGGTTTGCTTCCTTTTCGAAGGCTGCTTCGGCCAGTTCAGTTGATCGAGCTAAGCGATTTTGACAGATTGCACTTCTCCGTTCAGGAGAAGCGAACTCTCGCCGCTCGGATAGGGCGCAGTGGCCCTTTTGTCGAGAGGCGCCCATCGCAATCTGCGACAGATCCCTCCGGATTACAGTTGCTTCTGTGCAAGGCTGTCCGAGAATATAGGCTTACACAGTCCTACTACCAAAACAACCCCAGCAGTGCAGATTTCCAAAGTCAAGCCTTGGTCCAGAAAAGCCAAGCAATTCTGAAGCGATGGAGTTCCAGAAGTCTGGGAGGTCCCGACCGGTCTCGCGAACCCCCTCGGCAGAGAGGGCCCGCCCGCCCTCGAGGCACCTGCAGCTCTGGAGGAAGTTTGTAGTCGCGAAAGCTGACAGGCTTGGCGAAGCTTTGGGAGACTCTCAGTGAGAAGGGTTCTCTGAAAGTGGCTCCACTTCATGGATGTGCAGGCCTCTCTCGGGTTCCAGACCCGCTTCGCGACCGCCGCCTAGGCGGGGACTTGCCTTAGGCCTCTGGCCACCGGCATCCCCAGAAGTACAAACCACCACAAGCCAACCCAGTTAAACCCTTGAAGAAAAGCAGGCATTAGACCCTATTCAAGCCCCAAAGCGCCCCGAAAAGAATCGAATTCCTAAAACCCCCATTCTGTCTGAGTTTGTCGGTTCTGACGATGTCCACCGAGCCTGTGAGTTTCACTATCGCAGCCCGAATGCGCATTGAGACCTCATCTGGATTCTCCGAGTTGCGGGAGCTGTAAAGAAGAAGAGCCCCAGAGCCCTAGAACCCCACTCCCCTCAGCCCCCCCACAAAAACAAAAGAACAAGAGCCCAAAGACTCTGAAGACGGCGGTTGAGGCCGGCGAGCCGAGCTTCTTCGGCGGCTTCCTCCCGGGAGTTTGGGACTCGGACGATTTCTCGACCTGGGGTTTTGTTGGGGGGTTTATGGGGGTTCCTTTAGGGTTCGGAGTCACCTAGGGCTTATCATAGGAACGTCTTACAAGTTCTCTTGCTAGCTCATTTGTTGGGCACTTCACGACGATGGATGGGTCGTAACTCCGACAACCAGACAAGGCAACGGGCATGTTTCTGGATCTTGAAGCCAGAGATGGCAGACTTGTCGGGATTCGTTTTGCAAGCCTCCAACTTGAGAGCGTCTAAAGCGACATGTTGCCTGCTCAGTGTGCCATGCAATAGCCCCCTTCATGATGTTCCCATGGCCCTTCACCTCTTGGAGCCCTCAACCCACCCCGAACCGCTTCTGCCGAGGCGCACTCCGTCGCCAAGCTCCTTCCTCCATAGGGGCAGGCGGATTTGGGGGTTCCCCGTTTAAGGGTTCTTGTAATGCGCCAGATATCATATACCAAATAAATTGGATCACCCTGGGTGACAAAAATGCGATTCCCCGAAAATCCTAAACTCACGTCTAAGGATCTCGGGTTTTGGAGCCGGCATGTGCACACTTTTGATCCTGTTGTTGACCAACAAATCTGTGTAAGCGTAGGCTACGCCGGGACTCGGGCTGCGGACAGAATTGCCCAAGGTTTGGATCAGTACATCACGAGCCTTGGGTGTCGATTCCGCAAGTCTTCCCGGGGCCAAACAGCAGCAACAGCGAAGGTAATTAGGGATCACTGGGCCCGAGCCCCACTGCAGGGCTCAGGAATCGCAAAAACAGTACCAGCCTTTTCTTGATGTAGCTCTTTGGCACTACTTTTCCGCATCTGATAGCAGCATCAGCAATGTCAGTGGTATTGGGTGCAATGTTTGTTGCATTTGCCCTATGAGTAGTATGCGGAACAGTGATGAGCGTTAGTTGGTTGGTGTAAGTCCCTACCTTTTTGGTGGTAACCGTAGGTTAGGGGGCCGAGAGGTAGAAACTGCTCAGCGGCGGGCGGGGTGGGCGTAGACGTGATGCAGCAAGCTGGCTATGTTCATGAGGTGGATATTGGAATAAACATCGACACATCCTTACGGGCGACTCGAACACTAAGCCGGCTCCCCTTATCAGCAGCTCCTCTCATTTTCAGCCTTCTCGTAATTTGAAATGAAAGCCCACAGAAGTTGTGCGCGTACGTGCAGCATCGAAGCCTACCTCAGGGAGGAGAGAATTGAAGGTCGCTACTTCACGCAATGGACATGTTTTTACTGTAGCTGTGTCTTGTGGGTGTGGAAGCGTGTAAGAACTGGGCTTCTGTTTATGGTTTCTCTGGAGGCCGGCATCTGGACAGCCACGGCGGGAAGACTCGGGCGGCAGAAGGCTCTTCTGCCTTAGATGGCTTGGATTGGAGAACTAAAGGTCGATCGAGGTTGTGGACCTGAGCATCTGAGCCTTCTGTGGGTGATGGCTGTGCTGACAATATTGCTGGTGGTGGTCCAGCGGCCCCTGCCGCGGAGCACTTGCGCAGATCATAAGTTGAAAGGATGCTGCAGTCCAAATTTAGCATCTCCGGCTGGCAAGCATGCTCCGGACTGCAGGATCTCTGTGGCGCTCGAGCTCAAGCTAGGGGAGACACTGGCAGACACGATAGTTCCAGTCTTGTCCTGTATCACAAGCAGGATGCAGCGTTGTCAGGATCTAGCACCGCAGGCGGTAGGCATGCATCGTCATGAGACAGATTCCTTGTGGCCACGCAAAAGAATTGTTTTGAATTATCGCCGGTGGGGGGGGACCAGTGCACTTTGTTTAAGCCCCATGGCAGAGCAAGGCGGCAGCCAGCCTGACCAGGCTGTTCTGGCACAAGCTCTTCAGGGGGAGATCGGGGAGGAGATCCTGGTGGATGGCAACCGAAGCCTGGATGAGATCATGCGATGGCGCCGGAACGCTCCTTTGCTTTACGACATCTTCCTGGAGTTTGGTCTGCAGAAGGGCCCCGCCCTTACAGTGCAGTGGCTTGGGGACGATGAGGACGAGGAGTGCACACGCCTGGCCTTCGGCACACAGACAGGTGACTCCAAGGCCCAGGTGGTCGTCGCAGAGTTGACGTGTGTGGCCGACACCGATTTCACAAGCGATCCATGGAAGAGCTGGGGCCTGGAGGGCTTGCGGGACTCCTGCGGCTTCGGCGCGAAGCCGTTGGGCGGGGAAAGGGCGCCCTTGCGCTTCCTTTGCTCCCTGGACCACGACTCCGACGTGAATCGCCTCGTCTGCTGTCCGAAAAAGCCAAGCCTTCTGGCAGCCAAGGGCTCTTCGGGAGCCGTGACCTTGTTTGACTACAAGAGGGAGGGAGGAATGAAGCTGGGAAGCTTTCAATCGGGCGCGGCAGTCGAGGGCTTCGCAGTGGCCTGGAGTCCCTTGACTTCTTCCTGGCTGGCAACGGGTGGCCATGACGGATCCCTGTCCTTGTGGGATACCGAGGCACAGTCAACGCCGTCGGCCCCTTTGTTCGCCACCCAGGCACACGATAGTCCTCTCAATGACCTGAGCTTCTCGAGGCATGGGCCGCAGTTGACGACTGTAGGGGAGGACTGTGGCATTGCCATCTGGGACGTGCGCGAGGCTTTCTCCAAGTCGCAGCTGACGACAGCGGGGGAGTGCTTGACGGTGGACTGGAGCCCAAGTGACCAAAACCTGTTGGCCACGGGCGGAAAAGAGAAGATGGTCCAGGTTTGGGACCTGAGGTCTTTCAAGGCTCCTTTGAAGACGCTTCTTGGGCACCAGGGGGAGGTGCTGCAGGTCCGCTGGTGCCCTGTGGTGGGGGCTCAGTTCGCACAGATCTCCGCTAGCAGCTTTTTGGGCACTTGCTCCCAGGACGGTGACGCCATCTTGTGGAACCTGGAGGAAACCGAAAAAGGAGATGCGGAAGAAGACGAAGACGACCGGCCACCAGAGGTGTGCTTCGTTCACAGTGGGCACCGACAAGGTGTGCAGGACTTCGACTGGAGTTCCACGGAGGACCTCCTGATGTGTTCTGTGGGGGAGGACTGCGCCCTACAAGTCTGGCAGCCATCCTTGTCTGTCTTAGAGGAAGAGGAAGCGGAAGCAGATCCGGAGGGTGAGAGGGCCGCCAAGCGCAGTCGCGTGGACTGATCGTCTGCGGCATGCCTCCTTTAACCAAGCTTGCAGACATGTCGAAAACCGGCGAGCTTCTTTCCCTGATTTCGATGCCGGGCGTTTCTTTGCTGTGCGACGGTCGTCCTTTGAGTTGGATGTCGCCTGAGTCGGCAGGTCTCCGGCCCTCAACAGCTCGGGATCGCCTGGATTCCGTCGTGAAGAAGGACAGAGAGGCCCGAGGCTTCAGGGTATGTTGGATGCGAGGACCCCTTCAGGCAAAACAGCGTTTACACCGTTTCATGGTCCCGGCGGACTTGTTGTTGTGGTATGCAGGTTAGAAGCAGGATGACGTATTGTGATAGCAAAGCTGTTTGGTCATGCTGCTGGTCCTGTAGCAAACGAAAAGCCTGACTGAGCCATCGTGCCCCGGCCAATTGCAAGGCTTGAGTCGTACTGCAAGCATCGCTGCCTTGCAGTGTTCATGCGGCGACGTTCGAGTCCCTTCACATGCCTTCGCGCGGGTGCGCGAGACCCCCAAAAGCACCGGAAAGCGCTCCCCAAAATCCACATATTGTGCAGCACTCACTGATATTAATTATGCATTCATGTGAATTCACTGTTTGCCGAGGAGGCCGTGGCTACTCCCCAGGTCCGTCGGTGTCGCCCTATCGGCGTGGGCCCTGTCTGTTGGTTGGGGTTTATGACTTTCGGACTTTCGGATTTTTTGGTTTAGCGGTTTCGGGAGGATGTAGGAATGGAGCCGATGTACCGACGATTATTACCCATACAGTATCTGCTGTTTGGAAGTCCCCAAAGCCTATTTCGAGCTGCTGCAGGTCTCGCAGTGTGCTGTAAGAGTGAGGCCGACGACACGTGCTAACCCAAAAGAGGCATTCATAAAGAAGCCTCTGAATACTACGCACTAGATGCAGACGTCTTAGACTTGTATTTTGTGAATTTTTGAGTCGTCAACAACTGCTTCAGTTCTTGAATTGGGTGAAAGGCTTGTTGGCTCACTGCAGCAGTGTCAGTCTTGCGGCAATGGCGACTTTCGAATCCGTGTGGCTGCCGCGCATTCTCCGGATGCTCAGCGGCCCTGCAGCTCTGAACGCTTTGCGGAGCTGCAGGAGTCTCAAAAAGAGCTTGTGGCCTCAATGCCTCCAAGCAGGCGACGGCTTCTGGATCCTGGAGCAGCTGGAAACGGTGACCTTGGAAAAGCTCCTTGAAAGGGACGCTGATCTTTGCGATTGCTTCCTTTGGGCCAGGAGCGACATGAAGGACCACAAGGTATCTTACACGTCATTCGACGGGGCAGTTGAGATTCACACAAGTATGCCAACGGAGTCACAGAAAGCCGATTCCGATTCAGGGGAGTCCAAGCCCTCTAAGCTCGTAGTCCGGAGCTTGTCAGAGAGTTTCAAGGCCATGAATGGAAACGAAAGCTTGGAATTGACCAGGCGCAGGCTTGCGTTTCCACGGACGATGTCTCAAAAGCTGCCGGAACTTTTCGCTGGTAGTTTGAGGGTAGTAGGGGAGGAGTCGCCAGCTCTTATGGCCATGGGCCTTTGCGGCTGGGAGGTGTCCAAGGCTTCTGAGCAGTCACCGGGGGATGTCCGCTGGTTGCGCTTCTGCTTTCATCGACCGAGGCCAAAAGTGCCTCTGGCAATCCTCCATTTGAGTGGCGAATTTGATTTGCCCGGAGGGGACGGCCGTGGCGAGGTTTGCCTTGGTTACGTGAGCACGGACTTGGACTACGTGGTGTCCATGCGAGATTTTAACGAATACCCGACCTACAGGCACTTGGCCTCCAAAGTTTGCACCACATGGGAGGAAGGGCAAGGCCTGCTGCACACTTGGGGGCCCCAGCCGCTGGGAAGTCTCAGCGACGAAGGCCGCATTTGCGAATTCCGAAAAGGGTTATTGAATGTTGGTTTTCTAAAATCCTTTGTCTCGATGTTTAAGAATGTCAGCGGGGTCACGTAGACATCATCGAATAGCAGGCACGAAGATGGAGGAGATCCTGGAGAAGATAACAACGCCTGACGGCTGGGAGGTTGAGAGAACCACGATGTACCTGGATGAACACCGGTGCATCATGGGCTGCCCATTTTTCAAGGCTATCTACCAGGATTCCAAGCAATTGCTTGAGTCTTGTGCGAGAGATTCTTAACGATAAATGGCAACGGTCTGGCCTAGCGGTCCCGATGTGTGTGTTCTGTGCATTGGCGTAGTCATGCATAGGATGCCACACAAATGTGCAGTGTACGGGGTATGCCTGAAAGACGCCAGATATCGCCAGATGCTCTGTGCGTGAGTTCTGCTTTTCCAGCGCTGGTTCAATCCACTCCGTTTTGGCCTGGTTTGCCATGGGTTGTCAGCGAAACCAACCAGAATCCCAGGCTCCGAAAGGTAGAAGTCCAAAAGCCGACATGACCTCCAGCTCTGACCCAGGTAGCCTTGATCGCCTTAACCCTCAAAGCCGAAGCCCCGAAACTCCACATCTTTAAGCCTTGAACTCCACGTCCGCAGCCCTGAGCCCTATGGCCGGCACCCCAAGTCCCAAAACCCACATCCGCAAACCCCAAAACATCCCAAATCCTAATGCTTGGTCCGTCCACAGGAAACCTGCTGCGAGAGGGTGCGAAGTTCGAAGCCTTGAGCCCCAAGAAGCAGTGCCGCTCGTTTTAGGCGACCGGCGGGCCCAGGAAGCCGCAGCCGCGAGCGCACGCCGTCCCCAGGGTGTGCCGGCCGCGAATGATGCCGCGTCATATATTGAATTATTCTAATGCAGTCTCTTATGTTATATTGTTTAGCGGACAATACAGGGACGCGTGAATTCGGGGAATATAGGCTCCCTGATAAGAGGGATTCCGGAGTTTAAGCATCCCATTAGTTCAGTTCAGGTTCGACACAAAGTTCCCCCAAAGTCATAAACTGTCAGATCTCGAAATTTTGCATTTCCCATATCGCAACGTTTCCTTAGAGTCCAACAGAAAGTGATCATAGGTGACACGCGCTGAAGATGCAATCGCCGTACACGCAATGCAAACAATTACTGATGCCAGCGAGCAAACAGGCAGGTAGGTCGGTCGGCCGGTATGTTGTATGTCGGTACGCAGGTACATGGGTGCGTATGTGCGAGTCTGTATATGTAGGTAGACTAGGTAGGTATTCTTATATGCACAGCAGGTTTATAGCTACGTAAACATCTCATGACATACAAGGGGTCCGCCTAGTAGGGCTTGGTCTGAGGGCTGTTCCGAGTTTGATCAAGGTGAAAAACGGGCCAAGAACAAGGCCACAAGGCTCAATTCGTCGTGATATTGGCCTCTCGTCGCGGCATCTGCGCGAAATTGTTGTATCTAGACTCCTGGTGGCCTAGTGCGCTTGATTTGAGGTTTTGAGTATGCGGAACTTATCTTGTAGAGCCCATGCCCTCACTCTTGGGATATCTTGTTCGGAGCTCTAGGCGTTGAGCCGCAGGCTTGTTGGAGCAATGAAAGAGCGGCGGGTTTCTGAGGGACGTTTCTCACTTGTGACTGCCCGTTCGGTTGCTGTAATCGCACTCCTTGGCTTGGGCTCGACGTATTCTCAACAGGATTAAAGATGCAAGCCAAATCAACGTTCTTGGCATGAGGAGCGGATGAGGGCGTGATATTTACATCATTTGTTTTGTTTGAACCCAGGTCCCAGCGCCGTGTGGCGCCACCCACTGCTGCCAACGGCAGAGGTGCAGTGTTGACGGTAGGACATGGGGGTGCGGGTTTAGGGCAATCCCATAATACAGGGACGCAAAACACCCCCTCCTTCCGTTATGGGAAAGGTGCCTCAGCACTCTCCTTGAGGGAGCGCGGCCGAGCCCTCAGCAGTAGGTTTCTGTGCCAGGTTCGAAGCCAAGTAAAGGCTTTATTTTGTGGACATATCGCCAGGAGCAAGCAAGCCAAATTCGAGCTCCCGCAGACCCATTCCGAAAGCCTTGATCAGCTAGGGCACACAGTCGTCGCCTGAATTTTTTTTGCATTCCATGGGTCGCGCTGTGAGTGTTTCTGTATGTATCTGTAGAGCCGACGCAACAAGCTTGATTCCTTCATGCATGAGCTGGACATGTGATATGTTCACATGCCGTGACTATGCCGCATGCATCAATGCCCTACAGGCACCACACATCGTGAGACGAACGCGTGGTGCAGTTGAACTTGCAGTTTCGGGGTTCGGGTTGACGCTTCGAAATCTGCAGCTTGGGCAGACATGTTTGTCGAGCATTTGCTCGAACGTGTGCTGCTGGCGCGCTTGTCCTGCGAGCCCGACTGGCGCAACATGGACGGGCCCCGACGAGAGCTAACTACGAAGATGTCTCCAAAGTGCCGCTGCATCCTGCTTGCCTTAGCTGCATAGTTCGAGAATTGCAGTCAAGCCTCCATCCGGTCGAACCTCGGCTAACGCCAGATTCCTCACGGCCATAAGCCTAGCCGACGTCCAAGGGGGAGACCCTGGCACCGGCGTGGGACCGAAGCCCCCGTCCAGCCGGTACGGAGGCGGGTTTAGGGTGCCGGGTTGTGAGGGGTCTGCACAGCTGTAAGGAGTACCAGCTGCAAAAAAGCATTTAGGTTCGTGGTCAAGAAACGGGCTTCGTAAGGTTGAGCGTGTTGGTTGTCAATACAATCTAGAAGGCATCTTCCATGCTAGATGTTCATGCTGCGTAGCTCTGCGTTGCAGCGCTGAGTGGTCACTCTGCGATTCTACGAGTCGGATCGCAAGCAGGTTTACAAGAGCAATCCGTAGAGGCTGGCTAGACTAGCTGACGACGCAATCCGAAAGATGTTTCTCCTCCTGGCTGGGTCTTTTGGCCAGGTTTCATTGAAGCGCGTTCTTCGACAGAAGCCCGCAAAATTTTGTGGACGTCAGATCCTGATGAGCCAGTTTTTTTGCAGTGGTGTGGATCACTGAAGGTACGGTATGTACGGTATGTATTCTAAGGAGCCCCAAACGCAGGCGCCACAGGCGCACCTCAGCCTCCAGGCACAGTGCGGCCGCCCCCCGCCGCACCCGAGGCGCCTCGGCAGAGAAGAGGAAGCCCAACCTCGAATCATGATTCTTGGGGAGGGGTGTGATAAAAAAAAGGCAGTACTGCAGGAATGACAATCCGGTACCCAAAGTGCAAGTCGACAAATGAGGTAGCCAGGTACCTTTACATGGGCATGGTGACCGTAGATTTTCGTGATGTTGATGGGCTCCTAGCCTAGACCAACAAGTCAAGCTTCGGTCATCGCCACCATCTTCTGCAGCCGGGGAAGCTTAATGATCTTCTGTCTCAGCTGCTGCCGCCGTTATGGTGATGACGTCGATACAGCGACGATGCCGTCGCTGTCGCTGATGCGGCTGCCGATGAATCTAGATGGCTATGCTGAGAATGCTGCAGCAATCTCCTCACTACTGGGGCTGAATGCCTCGGGTTAGGAGAGTCAGGTACAGGCTCAGCACAGCTAGGTGTCAGGCTTGAACACGCAGGTTTTAGGGTTTGGGCTTTGCAAAAGCCGATTCAAAAGGCTGCGCATGTACGGGTTTGATTAGGTCTAGTTGCTGCTGGATACTGGCTCCATCTCCTATTTGTTGTTCCGTGGCTTATGTTTGCTACAGCTGTGTGACCCGCAGTGTTCAATGGTTAGTGCCATGCGAGACCTTAGCATGCTTTTACGGTCTTAGTTTCTTATGATCTGGCATAGTTCTTCTTTGTTTGGCATGTCTGCTGAAGCCACATGTTGTAGTTGGACCTCTTCGCCTGAATCCGTGCCTGCCTTAGGCGAGTCCGCGAGCCGAACCCCCGAACGCTCAACCTGGCACTCCGAAACTTGTGTCAGGTGCCGAATGCGCGGCCACATCAGCAAGGGCCTGAAGAGATATCTTGAAAGATGGAAGACCGAAGCCATCGATTCCCAGGGCCTCAAGTTTAGAACGTTTTTCGAACCATCCAGACGTCAGTGACCGGATTACGTTAAGTTTGTGAGCCCCTAGGAACGTTCGAACCCGAGATCCTGCTCATCTGTCTCATGGAGGGACTGACAACAGACAGATGCCAATATTGCTTGATTCAAGTTGTCACGGACATGTTCTCTCAGCGCTCCATGACACCACTCAGCAAAAGGAAGCTTCGCGTCCCTACCAGCCAAACAGTGACTCGCAACCAGGTCCACACATTCCTCCGAGTGTTCCTCCTTCCCTGCCCCAGGCCCTCAAGCCGACTCAAGCCCACTTGCACCATCGCGGCAAGTGCTTTGCAAAAGCCATAGCAGCCGCCCCGTAGAGGCTTTTTTGAAAAGTTTGGAAACACAACCCTGAAGAGAGAGCCTTGGGGAGGCTAGTATCAGTCTACTCCCACAAAAACAGCATTAAATCAAGGGGCCTGAAATCAAGAAATCAATGACGTTTGAGACCTCTGTCGGGACAAGCCTAAGACTTGAAGAGAAGACGTGTTTCCGCCAACCCCGAGGCCGGGAAGCCTCTTCGGCTTGGCTGCAGACCTGGGCCTCGGAGGCGGCAGCAAGAGAGAGATTTCACAATAAAGCTCCCCAAACGTCGGGGGGGGGGAGGGGGGGGGAAAGGCGGGGCGGGTAGGAAGGACGTTGTCTCAGGAGTTTCGGTGAGGGTCTTGGATATTAGCGGTTTCAGGGGTTGAGTAAGAGGTTTGGGTCTCGGGTGTTTGGCTATGCATTACTTGTTTTTTGTTGAGACGGGCATTGTTTTTGTTTTTTGGTTTTTCGGGCTCTGGATTTTAGGGCTTAGGGCGTGAAGGGCTAGAGCTGAGCCCAGTGGCAAACAGTAAGTTTACCAAATGGCGGTCCGGGGAGAGGGAGGCAGAGAGAGAAGGAGCGAGGACGGGAAGCGAGGATGATGCATGACTTTTTCTCCCGAAAATGTAAGGTGGAGCCAACAACAATGCTGACTCACGGTACTGCTGTCACCTACCCGGGAACGATGGCGACTACAGACCACGACGACTGCTTCCTCTGCAGATACTGCAGTACCAGATGCGAGCATGCTGTTGCCGTGAGCCCAGAACTGGGCCCAGAAAAAGCCTCACACCCCCAACCCCAAAGCAGTATTTGCGACCATACAGAGTGCAGGTGCCCCGACTCCGCCGGAGGAAGCCGAGGCCAGCGGAGAACTGCAGAGTTGCAGTTGCGGTTTCGATTCTGTTAAGAAAGATAGGCATGAAGGCTGAGCGCTTGGAGGTTTGTGGATAGAGGACGTAGGCTCTAGGTTTTGCAGGCTGGACGCAGGAAGGAGGTAGGCGGGCTGCAGGTACTTCAGGGGGTTGGGAGAGGATTTGGCTTGGGGCTCTGGGGCTCCGAACCTGCAGTGTTCCACGTGGCCTCGGGGCCTCAGGGCTTCGAGTTGAGAATGGAATTGGCAGTCAGGAGTCGACATGGGTCGAAGGTTCCACGGAATGCAGCCGGCATTTGTTTCTCTGGCACTGCTTGTTAATTGCCTGCAAACTTCCCTTAGCGTAGGGCAGCATGGGATTCGAAAGCTAGATGTCTTCTAGTTTGCGGAAGTTTCGTATTTCATGTGCAATCTTGGGGCCTGCCACCTACAGCAGACCCAATCGACGACTGTGAGAAGGCTCAGTTTCCTATACCGACCATTTGGCTGCATTCAGAGCGGTTGAACCCAGAAAGGATTCGCGGCCATCCCTAGACTTCTGACGCCTTCCCCATGCATGCCCCACGCATTCCTAGTAAGCGCACGATCCACCAGGCCTGCGACATTGATGCTCGCCTACAGGCGCTTCAGTCTTTCTTGAAGCAGACGAAAAACATAGCCGCTTGAGCCGAAAGAGCTCGATCCGACCCCCTCGTACCTACTGTGAAGCTATCTACGTAACAGGGCATTTGGGTTTTTTTCTTCGTGCAATCGATCCCACCATCGTGAGCTGCTTGGACCGGAAGAGTCGACTGGAGGCTTGCGGCGTTTCACAGCATCCAATTAAGTCAAAGGAGGCTGTTCCAGAAGAAAAGGCCTTGGAATGAAGATCCTATAGACGATACTGGTAGTACAGCATGCTGTGCATCTGGAACATCCTCCAAGTAGAAGATACTTCCACCTCCGAGGACAGGCCAGGTCACCGACTGCAAACCGCAAGATCCCTCCACCCTAGACCCTACGTGGGCGCCATAAGCCTGGCGAAAGAAAGAGCCAGCGAGAGAGTTTCGCATGTTGGACTCCTGGATTCACGGATCAGTTCATTCATGTGTCCTGGATTCACGGATCAGTTCATTCATGTGTCGAAAGCCGAAGGAACCACAGACAACAGCATCTTTACATGATGTGCATCAGCTTGCAGCAGCCAGCTGTTCTTCCTCAACTCGCTTTTGACACAACCACAAAGCCCTTCAGGCCGGGACCTAACCAGTGCCTCATGCCCGGGAGAAGAAGCCCTACGATTCAAGATGATAAGCTCTTCGTACCTTCAATGCGGGAGGCGATGCCACACAAAACTGTGGCCCGTCCTCAGAGTTGGCGCCTCTGCCGTGGAAGGATCTGTTCTGGGATGGGATCCTATTGATGCGTCGCACTCCGAGCCCCAGCCATAGATCATGACCGTAGTCCTCGAGGGTTACCTACTCGCCCTTCCCAGAATCTCTGGCTCGAAGCAAGAGCCGCCGGGAATGCAAAGAAGCAGATCTGCAGCTGTCAGTGACAGAGGTTGCCGCTGTCGGAAGTTACCAAGGTCCCACTGAGTCCCACTGTAGCAGCCAGTAGCAAAGGCATCGCTCCTCCTCCTTTCCTGGTCCTTCCCGTTCAAGCCCGGTTTTAACTGGAAGGAACCAGAGGTTTGCAACGTAGTCGCTGGTAGTCCAGTTGCAGATACCATGGAATTCTAGGCTCAAGGTTGAGGCTGGCGGGCATCTGAATTGAGGGGCTGTAACCCCAGCGATGCACTCGAAGTTGAGGTTTCTGCAACCCCCTTGCTGACAGAAGCAGGCTGCCTGCACGTCAGAGCTACGCGCTGCAGACGCGAAAAGAGTGCGAGTGGGAATGTTGAGAATTTCCTGAGATACAGTAGCAGCAGTGAAGACTTGTGGGCAGCCTAGCTTGCATTGTGTGTGTGTGTGAGAGAGAGAGTCATGGAGAGTCGAAGCCCTTAGAAGCTCTTGTGTCCTGTGGCCCACCTGATCCAGATATCCTTGGTCCTGAAGCCGGCCAAAAGCAGGATCCATATCAGGATCTAAACCCTTCTCAATTCAGACGAGTTTCCCTGCGGTGCGACTTGATCAGCTGGGCGGGTGGGAAGAATGCCCTGCGATCGTCCACTTGCCTAAAAAGTCATGGGCTTTATGGGCTTTTAGGTCAGGGACCTCAAGCTTGTGAAGAAGCCACTTCTTCAAAGCCTAGGGGACCCCCAAGACGTGATCGATGCTTGGTTTGGGATGTTGTAATGACCTTCGATATAAAAGACGATGAATCCGTCGGCCCACGCCTCAAAGTCCCACGCCGGAGCCTCTCCACTGCAACACGCGTCGTGAAGCACCGGTCTTCACGCTCCCTACCGACCTCTGCTCGCATCGCCTTTTGTTTCGGATGAGATGCCCAACGCTGATATTTGCGCGGTGTTGTGCTTGTTGTACAGCTTTGATTCCAAGGCCAAGAGGTGCATTGTCTGGTGCACCTTGTGTGCTCTTGCTCCGGATACGAAGCTCAAGTCGTGCTTAGTCGCCCCGAGATGCAGCAGTTCTTCAGCAGGTTGCGATGCCATAGACTGGCAAAGTTCCGCCTGAAGCCGCAGTGCATTATTGACAGATGCGTCACCGCATCTGAAATGCGTGAGATCCACCCTTTGCTGAGCGACGGGCCTGCAGCTGACCGGAGGGAGGGCTGGAGGCTGTAACATCTGACTTGCACGAGCCATCTCCGCTTGCTACGGCAACATGCTGTTTCACGAGAGACAACCACGACAGTGTGTTTACAGTGTGTTTGCTACGTACGACCTGTGCTTTGTGCTGCAGCCGCTCCTCAGCATCAATGTCGAAGCGCAAGGCGCCAGATGGAGCCGCAGAGGGCGCGATGGAGCCGCGACGCCTCAAAGTGCTGGTGTAACCCGGCCGAGAGTGCAATTTTTGAAGTCTTGGGGAGCTCCTATCACCCTCAGGTCAACATTGGGGATTGCTTGCTTCACTCCTCGGTGACATACGATCGCAGAGGATTGGCCGCTTTGCAATCTTCACATTGGGGATTTCTGAAGGTATGGGCCCCGATTGCTCTCGTAGTAGTTGGCTCCGTTATGTAAGGATGCCTGTATGCGGTGGCCGCTAGCCGTCATATTGAGAACTCTTTCATGAACCCTGACGTATAAAGCTCGGCGACAACCGAAAATGCCTTGATAAATTCTTGCAATAAGCCCAAGCCAACTTTTCCGTCCAAGCCTGAGGCCCTAAGCCTAAGCCGCACAACAGGTGACACAGATCTGTTGTGACCGATCATGTATCTGAGACCAGTATCGCTGCAGACCTTGCCATGCTTAGTCCGAGTGTGAGTGTCAAAAAAAGCACCCCCCGAAAACCATCGAAAACCAACCCCCCAAGTCATAGTATCCGAAACCGCAAGCACCGAAACCCCACATTCTATTCCCGAACTTACCCTGCAATGCGGGCTTCGTCCTTGCTAAGCAGGAGGGAAAAAGCCTACATAGCAGGATCCTTGATACAAGGACCCCCTTACGTAAGGTTCCCGTAACCGAGGTGGTTCGTCGGCAGCCGCGGGGATGTGCTGCCAGGTGTGGAGCTCTGCAGAGCGTTGAACGATCGGGGCCACGAGGCCTGGCTCCTTCTCTGAGTGGTCGCCGCTTTTGCCGGCATCGCTTTAGAGGGCTCGCTGTGTCAGCTCCTTTGGGTTTAGCCTTCGGGGTGAGGCATTCGTTTTTGTGTCGCAGCATTCGCAGCCACGAAAGACCGCGCTCGAGCAGCCGAGCTTGCTGCAGAAAGTCCTTCGCACAGCCGCCGCGCACATAGGGCCAAGAGCTGAAAGGCAAAACCCGAAATCCTAAGGTCCGAAACAGATAATAACAGATAAATACCTGGTTAGCTTCTCAGGCCGCCATGGGGGTCACGCCGGGGCCAGAGGAGTGCATCCGCGCGCGACCTGGCTTCAGACTTGGGACCGGATCAGGCTTCTGTTGACGGTTCAGTGCCGCTCAGGATGGCTTATGGTTTGAGGACCGCTTCGCATATTGAAACCTCTTCCAACGGAGATTATGACCCTGAGCAGGTTATGTTGGGGTGCTTTGTTGTCCCCCTTGGTGGCCGTAGTGGCGTCTCCGATCGCTCACGAACTTATTGCACCTACAGCAACTCCTTAGCCGAGTTCCCCAAGTTGTAGAGTCGAAGCGTCTTAAGAATACCGAGTAGCAACCGACACAAGAAATCCCAAGATGCCTGGGACGCCGGAGAATGAGCCGTGAACCGCCTGAGATCCCACGACTGTGCTGGAACACAGAGACGCACCGCTCCAAGGTATGGGGTTCGCTGCATCACTTTGGGCGCGACGCCTTTCAAGCTGCGAGATGACACGAACGTCATGTCGGACGAGGACCTTGGACCTTGGCACAGGGAAGGTCAGCGACTTCGGATGTGAGCTCCCGCGTCAGAAGCCGAATGCTAAACCAGGAAGTGGCGATCTTCCGGCGGTCGATGAACCCGCGCGAGTACCTGAAGCTGGAGAAGAAGTACAGCGTCTCGTGGAACTTGGATGAACCTTGCTTTGCAGTGTGCAGATCCTTCAAAGCTTTGGTTCCGGGGTCTTTCTTTTGCTCTTCGAATCTGCTCCTTCTTTCTTTCATTTTGCTCCCTCTCTCTCTCTCTCCCTCTCCCTCTCCCTCGATTATGTTCGTGACCCTCTCTCTTTTCTCCCGCATTGCCTGTCACATGTTCTTGTCCTGGCTCTTAGCGAAAACCACCACAGCATGACATCTAGACTAGACCTCCATGACCTTCGAAGTGCGGCATGCTTTTCGTCCTCTTTTTTCGCAGAAGACACTAGCATCAGACCGAGCGAAACTGTTTGGGCTGGAGCGTGGCTTCTGTAACTTGTCCAGGACTCCCTGCCCGACGCTCTCCGTGCATGCCGCGACTTGATGCAGCAGGAGTGTGGGCAAAAGGTCGCATGGGGCTAGACTGAATGAACCATAAACTATGTCCACAGGAGCACTTTGATGCCATCGTCTGCTCCGTCATCACAGCGGCGGACGCTCGGCGCAGTCTGCACTCCCTGATGATGGCGCGTAGCAACGCAGGAACTTCTTTGGTGCTCTTTTTGGACATGCGTTGTTGAGGCTTCGGTCCGCTTGTTGAAGATGTTCCCGCACCTGTGCATCATCCGCACGGCTTACTCGTTTGCCTCCTTCGCTCCTCCGACGCGAGCGTGGCCGCCAGCTGGCTATGCGGACTCTCCCCACTGCTATGGCAGCTGAGCAGCACGAAGCATCGGAATTGACGTGTTGAGGTTTCATCAATCCCGGCTCGACTTGTGAGACTGTGCTTGCATGATCCCTCAAAAGTCCAGGCGTCTTCAACAAGCTGAAGCACTATCACTTTCTCTTCTTTCGGTTCTTGCCCTTCATCCTGAATGCATCTCACGCAAAGCCGCTTGATCAAGATCGGTTGAAAGGACAGAAGCGGAAGCAAGAAATGTGGCAAGACTCACTATCGTGATGCTACAAGCTGCTACAGGCAACGCAAGCCGTTTAAACATACTACCATCCGGTGAGCATACGGTATACCCCGCGACGACAACTGCTCCTGCCACTGCCGCTCCTGCTCCTGATGCTCTGCTAC